TGCCGCTGGCGTACGCTGGAAGCGCTACGCTACGCTGCCGCAAAGTATAAACGCAGCCTAAGAGTCAGTCAAGATGGGCTGTAGATAAGGTAGAGGAAGTCAACCTCACAATTTGCAAGGATTTTTGCGTACTCTCAACCTTAGCTACTGCAGTATTTGTCTGTCCATCGCTCGACTTTCCTGCTAGGGCATTCACTCCATATCCGCAAAATAGAAGGGGCGTGGCTGCGTGCTTCACTTGGTGTGGGAACCGTTTGTGGGATATTTCCGTGTGAGACATCTGTCGTCTTATTTTGCGCTGGATAGGGACATGATTAAATTTTTTCCAGCACGAAAGTATCCTACCAAAGAAGCAGCCGTCGCCACGTTTGAATGAAGCGCGCAGCCACGCCCTCTCTACTTCTGGGATATGGAGTGCACGTCTTTGTGGATATTGGCAGAGCCAGCGCAGCAACTGAACGCGCCCCATTTCTTGCAACTGCCAAACGAAACTCCCGCTCATGCGAGCAAAACTCTTATTTCCTACGGATTCAGCTCCCGGCAATGGACCTCCTCAGAAAAACCGAGGAATCCTGGATCGCTCCTAAACTCTATTTAACAGCAGTTGTGCCCATGGGGCTCTTGTAAACGTAATTTAACGGTAATCTTATTCTTTATCGCTCTGTATATGCTCGGTCATGCCGTGATTCAAGTGACTTCCCAGATGGGCCTCGCAGTTAGTTTTTTTCGAGGTCATCTATCTTTCGTTCACCCTCGGAGCCAGTCAATTGGCACAAGACTTGTCTGGGAGGTTTGGATCAGTTGCAAAGGCTAGGTTGTATCTAAAATGCCTGTGCGAGTCGAAACTAGAATGCGTGGCGTGTTCCAGAAAGGGACTCATTAAATATCTACCGCATTTTCTGCTAGGGATAGAAGCTGCTTACGGCTAGCTTGCAGTTGCGAAACATTTGCAAAACCTTTGATAGGAGCGAATATCTGACCCCCAACCTTGTATTTTGGTCCCGCGAAAGGTGCAGCGCGAGGGAAAGCATGCATGAGCGTGCTGAAGGAGGGTTTTTCCATGTTTTAGTGAATGCAGGCTAAGGCAAACATTATGAGCTTTTAGTGAGATGACATGTTCTCCAGGAAAACCCCGTTCTTCATGAGTTGCTTCTAGGAGCTAATTTACATATTGCCCTAGGCATCGTAAGTTCAGCAACCCTAATGGGTTATCTCGATTCTTTTGGGACAGTCGAGGATCTGAACTTTGAGGTCTTGCTAACTCTCAGAGCACACCAGGTGCACGTCTATGGGGAAACAAAGCACAGCCTCTGACCATGGCTGCCCTCCTGTCTCTGCCGGATATCAAATAAGTCTCCCTAGAAGGGTCGAAAGTTTGGTTTCTCAACCTTGCTTTAGGATAAGAGCACTCAGATGCACATGGACTTGCTCGCGCATGTTCCTTGTGTGATCCAAATTTTATCCCAAATACCATCATAATTTTGAGCGCAAGTATAATGCGTGGAGCAACTGCAGAATTCATTCTTTAACTGTAAAAGTTTGCTCAAAAATTTTACAGGAGGAATCAATCTCGTCGTGAATACAAACGCCAATGCAAACTCGAATTCTGACTCGAAAGGTGCTGGAGGTGCCGGTGGACAAGCACATCCAGCACCTCGACCTTGCCCGAAATGTCGCATGGGATATATCACACGTGGACAGGCACGATTCAGAGAGGTTAGCGAACTCTTCATTTCCTTGGAACCCCTTAGTTCTGCTCCTTAATGTTTTTGGTGCACTTTCTAGGCTTTCCT